GGTGTGGGTCTCATTGGGTGCCATTGATCAACCTAGCCTCTTCGATGGATCCCCCTGAGAGAAGCTGTTTACACTTGCTAGCATTTAGTGGTAACAGCCACTCCTCCGTTCACTTCTGGACTTCATCTAGGTCATCTTGAATGGCGTTGGTGGAGGGGTCACCGATAATTTTTACGTCATCGGCAAACAGGAAGGACGGTTGTACTATCCTCTTGGTCAGGTCATCAATGTAGATGAGGAATAGTAGAGGTCCCAGCACGGACCCTTGGGGCACACCACTACAGGATGCCCTCCTAGTGGACATTTCGCCCCCTACCCTGACATAGAAGGACCGGCCAAGTAGGTACCCCGTAATCCATCTGACAACATGTTCAGACAGACGGAAGGTCTTTAGTTTTTCTATCAACAGTCGGTGGTTGACTGAGTCGAATGCCTTTTGGAAGTCTAAGTAACAGACTTCCACACGCTCCCCCCGATCAAGCCTTTGAGTGATTTCGTCAATGAAGTCCAGCAAGTTTGTTAGGCAGGACTTCTTCTGCACAAGACCGTGCTGGTTAGGAGATATCAAACCCTGGCTTAGAACGTGCTCTGCTATGCGATCCCTGACGATCCTTTCCATATTCTTCAATGGAATAGGCAGCAAACTGACTGGCCTATAATTCCCTACCGAGTCCCTGGGCCCTCCCTTGTGAATAGGCACCACCTCTGCTATTTTCCAATCTGCTGGGGAGTTGACCGTGACAGAGGGATAGGTTAAACAGGCGAGCCAGTGGATTGGCAAGGACTTCTGCCAGGGGTTTCAGTATGGCTGGATGGATACCATCTGATCCTGCCAATTTGCCTGTAATTAGGTGCCTCAGGTGATCCTGAATCTCCTGGGGGAGGATTTCGCAGTCCGGTATAAGTGAAATGGGCCTCGGAGTTTGTTGACCTCCGGGGGCCTCAATGTCTCTAACGTGAACTGCTTCAAAGAAGCTTCTGAAGAGTTCTGCTTTCTCAGAGCTGGCTAGGACTGGGTGGTTGCTTTCATCCTTGAGAGCACCTATAGCCGTACGCAGCTTGGAGTTATCCTGTACATAGTTAGAGAAGCCTTGGGGCAATCTTTAATCCTCCGCGCCAGTCCTGTTTCGAAGGCCCTACGGCAAGCCGTCTGGGCGCTTTTTTTTTCTCTCCCTGAGGTATTGGAGATACCTTTGGTGGCTACGGGTTCTGAGGTACTGGCTCCAAGCTTGACGCCTTCGAGCTTGTGCCTTTGCTACCCTGCTGGACCACCAAGGGAGTTTGCCATTTCTACGGATCCTCCTTAGCGGAGCAAACTCCGAAGTGAACAGTAATAGATTGGACTTAATGGTGGTCCAAAGCCCTTCTATAGTGTTGAGCTGCTACCCCCAGTGTAGCTCGGAGGCTCTTTCAATGAAGGAGTTATTCTGTGGAAGGCTCTCCTCCATTTTGTGCTGTTTCCCTGTAAACAGAAACGCAACACTACATGGTCTCTCCTACCCTGTGGTGGAGAAGTTCCCAAGTCAGTCATATCATTGGGATATTTACTTAGGACTAGGTCCAATAACCCAGGGTTTTGACCGCTGCGATAACGCGTGGGGTGGTTGACGTGTTGGACTAGGGCGCAGTCAAGGGTAAAATTTAACAGTAATTTGCCCAAACTGCTTGGTGGTGCCCACGTGGAATTCCAGTCGACTTCCGGGACATTAAAGTCCCCTAGAATCAACACGCTGGTTGATCCGCGGCTAAGTTGTCTGAGATATCATAGTAGTTGCTCATCCTCCACCTGGGATGCTGAAGGACTGCGATAAACACAGCCTACCGCCAGTTTCTTTGTGGGGAGGTTTATCGCACAGGCCGCTACCTGGATGTTAGGTGTG